GCTAAAAATAAACTGATTTACAAAAAGTCAGATTAGCGAAAGAGATAACAACGAATGTGCGATTTTAAAGTAAATTTTGAAAACGGGTCATTTGACCCCGCTTGGTACGTTTAGTGTTACGAGTCTGATGCTCTATACCGACTGAGCTATCCCCATCTCGCGCCACGCCATCTTACCATGCGATCTGCAACACACAAAATATATACAATATACAGCAGTGCGGACGCTTAAGCGGGGCTTAAAGTATCCTGCGAATTGGCACCGAAGCAAAGAGTGGGAATGAGCGTCAATTGTCGTACCGCAGCGAATCCCCAGCATTCTTCACTATATTATTCGATCGTAAAGAAATTTAACATTTTAACATTTTATAAAGAAATTTAACATTTTAACATTTTATTTAAAAGATGTCATTAATAAATTAATAGTTTATTAACACATTGTTGACCGGCAATTTTACGCAGATGGCATGCTATCTCACGTCGTCTATTATTTCGTTAATTGAGTATAAAAGTGAAACAATCTAAATAAACTTCAATATACCTTATTATACAGAATTTAAATAAAACTTTATATACCTCTTACATGTATTATATTTTTATTTTTATACGTACAATATATTTTAGTAATTTTTTTTTTGGTGTATAAAATTTATAGTAATCATCCACTTGTAATGGTGCACAACAGGATTTGCAAATATATCTGGTTTTGCTGCGATAAACTATTAATTTTCACATCACTACAGTATATTTCAAAATCGTTCGGACAATCAGATAAAGCGTCTGCATGTAATTCATTGAAGAGTTCTTCACCGTCACGATCCGTCATGACTGGAATTTTTGTAACGTTAAAAATTGCGATAAAAACCTGAATATCGATAAAAGTAATTTTTTTTTGTTATAATAAAGTGAACACGACGAAGGAAATTTCACAATACCCTGTATTACCCTGAGCGTCAGAAATTAAAATAGCTAATGCAAGTGCAAACTCGTGACCGGTCAACAATGTGTCAAAATAAACTATTTTTAATACTATAAAACTATAATTTAATACATACGTACTTTCAAACTAAATAAAGGCAAACGCAATAAATTAATAGTTAATAGTATTTATTTAATATATTATAAACTATATTTTATTTATATATATAATATATTAAACTATATTACTATAAAACTATTATTTAATAATATACTTTCAAACTAAATAAAGCAATAAATTGTAATAAAGCAAGAATTGTCAAATGATATTGTAATCTAAATTTCTTGAAAATTCATTGAAATTTCTACGAAAGTATTTGTTAATCGATAATTATCGGTAATTGGATGAAAACCTTCCATAAAGGTTTTGTTACATTTTCATCAATATTAAATTAACAATACACATGGTATGATCGCATTAATATATATAAATTGGATATGTATTTGTTATTTAATATAAAATTTGTTTATCTTGATCGATATGTGTCATATATATCACAATTATAACGTGCCAAAATATCGGCATCATATATCTGTCATTTTTGTCATTTTTCACGCGGCCGTATAATAAGGAAGCGATAGAGTCCCAATTCCAAGAATTGGTGAGGATAGGCCCTTAAGTGGCCACTACTGTGTTATACGATATTGGTGCTTGGCATTGGTGTAACAGTTGATCTCCTTTCCTTCCTTCGGTGCCAATTTGCACAATCCCGGGACACTTAAGTGAGGAAATACTACTATATTAAATACTACTATATTTCCAATATTAAATACTACTATATTACTAATACTATTATATTATTAATTAAATACTACTATATTTCCAATTCTTTCTCCCATCTCGTCGTTTCATTTCACTTTCCTGTATCACTCTCTGTTTCACCACTCACAGCGTTGAAAATGGCGTTTCCTCTGTTTATTAGGAAGCCGGATTGGCAAGTATCGAGAGTGCCCTCCTGGATGTGAAGACTCATCTGGCTGCGAGTATTTCCAGGCTGCGCATCGGCGGCTCTGCCCTCAACCTCGGTGAATATTTTTCCTCCGACGTGTGACAGAGACTTTGGTAGAGACCGAGTATTTAGTCAAAATGAAAAAAAAAAAGAAAGAAAATGAACGACGCGTTATGTACGTGCTTACGTTGATGTTACCTTCCAAATCCGAAAGACGAGCTGCTGCCGAGTCGTTTGCGCGTCATCGAAGGAATTGCTTGGGGCGCGCGAGCCACGATCGCTACCGGATGGATAAACAGCACAAGAGTCGTCGGTAGGGAAGAGTTCCTGCAGGAGATGTCGAAATTGAAGTTGATCCATCGCGAGAGCGGATCGAATCAAGCGACTGAACTCGAAGAACACGAGTTTACGTTCGATCCGATTTGCCCGAAGGTGGTTCATTTGCACGAGGGCATGCGGGAAACGTTGGCTACTTCAGATCTCATTCGCGATCATCGCTTCGTGTTTCTAGTAGGTAGTCGAGCAGACGAAACGAAAAGAAGATGGAGGAGATGATCGACTAATGATCGACGATTGGTTTGGATTGATTGGACAGGAGAGGTCGTTGTGCATGGGCGCGGCAGCGTTGGTCCAGGCGATTCGCGTCGGTAGATTTTACGGTCCGGTCATCCTGACGCACTCTCTCGCGCCTCGACACACTGGATATCTGGCTGGCCTCCTGGCTGACATCGACCACGCTGGGAAACTTTTGGTTTACGGAGCTGGCGACCGTCGTTGCGAGTACGAGACCTACCTGACAGATCTTGGCGTTACGTTGCAACGGTGTCGTGTTTCTTCTCAAAGGTATAATACGTTCATTTCCATTTCTCTGTCTCTTTTATACACGCACGTCTGTCTCACTTACAATTAGACATTTCGATTGATTCGATTGAGTGAAACTTTTGAATCATTTACGAGTATTTCGTTAGGTACGTGTCTCATCCGGCGACGAGTGAATCCGAGAGGGCCACTGTAGTGTTGGCAATGCCCTCATGCACCTATACAGGCGTTCGAGATATCGTCGATCTTGCAGTGGCACGGGGAGGAGACATGGATCTTCTCGAATCATTAACAGATGGCTATGCCAACAGCGTTTACGACGACGATAACAACGAGAAAAGTTATGACCGCGAGCAGTGGCATTCCTTCTTGACCGATCAAATGTCTACTTTGAAATATACTTTGACCAGGCCGAATGTACAGTTTGTCGTGTACGAGGTGCACACTATTTTACCGTCAGAGACGACGGAGATGGTTCGAGAGGTGGTAGATTGCGTGAATCGAATGGCTGTGGAAAAATACATTCGCGAGCATTCGGTAAGGTGCCGATAAATTTGCTCTCTTAACTCTTTGAGGCACACGATTTTAAAGAAACTAAGAACCCAAGTTGCGCAGAATTTTTTTTAATATAAAAAAAACGGAAAAAATATCAAAATATTAAACTGTATGACTATGAGTAACTTCAACTTTTCGAGGTGGGTTAAAATATATCCCACCATGCATAAAAAGCTAAGCAAAAGGTGGGACATTTTTTAACTCACCTAACCCCAAAGAGTTAACTCGCTAGCTCGTCGTGTCGATTGTAATCTCGATATTGTTTTTCTTATTCATCAAAGAGGAAAGCTCCGAAAGAATCGTCGAAATCGATAAAAATGGACGAAGGAGATGATCAAGCCTCGATAATCCCCGCAAACGTTACCGTAAGATTTATGCCGATTTAATATAGAGTGAAGTCGCCTAATACGGCGAAGGTTCTCAATATGGGGAGACCTAAAATCTAACAAAGCAAGAGGTGCTTTTTATCCACGAATGTCGTAATCAGTGCAGTGTCATTTGTTTCTATTAGTTAAAACAGCTGTTACAAAAGTTTCCATGTTCTATTGTATTTCGTTGCATCTTTCAAAAGGTAAGTAATTGTATAACTTATTATGACATAAGGAGGAAGATAATCTATCCTTAATATGGGGCTCTCTATATTAGAAACGCGACTCCATTGAAATGTATTTTTCGAACAAACTTGCTGATTTATAGACACTAGGTCTTATAAAATATTTAATTAAATAAATTTAAACATCGAAGAAGAGGAAACAATGGGATCCGGACGTGAGGAAGGTGGCTTTAGATGCTGTTAGAAATAAGAAAATGCAAAGTTATAAAGCATCTCAAACTGTGTTGGAGAGGTACGTTTCAAATTCTGAGAAAGAATCCGATGAGCCGATCGATATTAATTTGTTTTATATATAAATAAACATTACGTTCCTTTTTTTAACGAGTATTTGAAAATTTTCTTATTTTTATTGTTATTTCATCTAAAGTGCAATCACGAGGTATTCATGTTTAATTTATAACTTTAACTTTAAAATAATGCCATTTTATCCTATTAATTTTCAGATAAAAAGGAATAAAAAGATATAATTATAATTGACATCTTTATAAAGCATATTATGTCCCATATTAAGAACACCTATCTCCCCATATTAGGGACCCCCTGTACCCTAATAATGGGCATGTTTTTTGTTAATTTGACAATTGGCGAAGAACTAATTGTAAAATAAACGGAAGTATATGGCAACACAGTCTGACGTGTAATATTTAGAAGCAGTAGATACAAAAAGTTTCACGATTCCTCTGTTGAATCTACGAGCTTCTAAAGAAAACCTCCCCATACTAGGCGGCTCTGCTCTACGTGTGCTACGATGGAAATTGCATTCGCGATTTCTGTCGTAAGTTCGTTGAGAAACTTCAACAAGAAATAACAAAATACATAAGATTCCAGACAGTGACCTCTTCGAAGTGGGCAGCATCGACGACATTTACGGGGAAAACGTCAGCCGGATGTTAGATCCAGGATGCTTCCTCGCGGTGATAAAGCGAAAGGAAATCGTGCAATTCGACTCGCTGTTTATGATCAAGGTAGCGGAATCGAAGGGTTTGTTTGGCGACCCGAACAAGGCACAACGGCCATCGAAGCACGAGTCCGTCCTCGATCGTTCGATTAAACAATCCTCGCGGAAACGAACGAAGCGCGCCAAGGTTTGGTTCCCCTTCTGAGTTTCGATCCTCTATGTTCCACTGTCGTAATCAGT